ATGACTAGAAATAATGCTTAATTACTTTGAAGAGAGAAAAGAAATCTTTTTGACTATAAAAAACAAAACTTCTCAAAGTCCAAAAAATTGTATTTTTTCCAAACGGTTTAATCCAAGCCTTAGATCAAAAAATACCAAATTCTTGTTTATTTAAATTTGATCAAAATAAGCCTAGAAATAATGCTTTCTGACTTTGCAGAGAAAAACGAAACCTTTTTTGACCTTAAAAAACAGAATTTTTCAAACTCCAAAAAATCGCACTTTTTCAAAGGGGCATACTTTTGCCCAACATATGCCATTTTTTCTTGATTTCGATTTGATCAAAATAAGACTAGAAATAATGCTTTCTGACTTTAAAGAGAAAAAAGAAACCTTTTTGGCCTTAAAAAACGGAATTTTTGAAAGTCCAAAAAATCGCATTTTTTCAAAGGGGTTAACCCATGCTTTTGAGCAAAAAATGCTACTTATTTGGTTTAATTAGATTTGGTCAAAATAAGACTAGAAATAATACTTAGTGACTTTTCAGAGAAAAAAGAAACCTTTTATGACCTAAAAAAAATGCCAATTTTTTAAACTCCAGAAAATCGCACTTTTTCAAAGGGGTTAATCCATAAAATTTGGACAAAAAAATGCCATTTTTTTTTTGATTTCGATTTGATCAAAATAAGACTAGGAATAACGCTTTCTAACTTTGAAGAGAAAAAGAAAATCGCACCTTTTTGGCCATACTTAAAAAAACGGAATATTTCAAGTCCAGAAAATCGCATTTTTCCAAAGGGTTAACTCACGCCTTTAATTCAAAAATGTCAATTTTCTTCTTTATTCAAAATTGATAAAAAAAAAAGACTAGAAATAATGCTTGGTGACTGCCGAGAAAAAAGAAACCTTTTTTCACTTTAAACAGCGGAATTTTTTTAAGTCCAAAAAAACTCACATTTTTTCCGAGGGGTTAACCTATGCTTTTAGTCAAAAAATGCCAATTTTTCGTTTATTTAGATTTGGTCAAAAGAAGACTAGAAATAATGGTTAATAACTTCGCAGAGAAAAAAAAAACCTTTTTTTTGGCTATAAAAAACAGAATTTTTCAAAGTCTAAAAAATCGCACTTTTCCAAAGGGGTTAACCCATGGTTTTGGACAATTGTTTATGTAGATTTAGTGAATATTACACTTGAAATAATGCTTGGTGACTTTCCACAGGAAAAAAGAAACCTTTTATCGCATTTTTTTTGAAAGCGGTTAACTTATGCTTTTGGCCTAAAAATGCCATTTTTTTCTTTATTTAGATTTGACCAAAATAAGACTAGAAGTAATGCTTTCTGATTTTGCAGAGAAAAAAGAAACCTTTGTTGCCCGTAAAAAAGATAATTTTTTAAAGTCCAAAAACCCCATGCTTTTAGTAAAAAAATTCCAATTTTTCGTTTATTTAGATTTTGTCAAAATAAGTCTAGAAATAATGCTTCATGACTTCGCAGGAAAAAAAAGAAACCTTTTTTGGCCATAAAAAAACAGAATTTTTCGAAGTCTAAATAATTGCACTTTTCCAAAGGGGATAACCCATGCTTTTGGTCAAAAAATGCCACTTTTTGTGATCATTTAGATTTGGTCAAAATGTAGTATCAACTTTATTCGCAATTTAAGTGCTCTTACAGCGTGCAAAGAAAGTCGTGTCCGACAGCCTGGGGCTGGTGGATTTTGCTTTTGGGCTAGTGAATTCTGTTCTTAACTTGTCCGACGGGCAAGCGAATTTATTGGGGAAATTCAAATTACAGAAGGATGGTAATCAATCCTGCTAATCAAAAAAGGTTTTGGGGCTAGTTGAAATGACGCGTGGGCTTGTACTTGCTAGCTACAGCTTGCCCGAATGGCAGGCTGTAAAACTGACTTTCTTTGCACCCTATCTTATCTGAGGACTTCAGGCTATAAATTATGACCAGGAAATATACTCTGTACACCATCGAAAACGTCCTCATAGCTGCTCTACAGAAGGTAGTTTCCACAAAAAATTCTGTAAAATGAATACTTGGCTGGATTCTCTGTTACCACGTAAGTCCAATTCACAGTACGGTGACAGAATGCCAGACACATTGTGCAGTTCATGATCTGCATTGACAAAGGCTGCGCTAAAAGGAAGAGAGAAAACAATCAGTTAAAAAACAGTGACAAAATGTATCACAAGAGTTTTGCTTCTAGTCACCCTCAGTGTGATTTGTCCTTTTTTTCCATGAAAACGATGGAGTGTTTATTCACGAAGAAAGCTATTTGTCTTGAGAGAATAATCATTTAAAAATCAAACTAAAGTAACATGCCACTAATCCACAGTGCTGGGTGGATAACAAAACAATAATGGCTTCTCTATTTCAGCTCTGCTCTTTCCCTCAAGCAGGGTTGTCAGAATGTTTTGGAGTGGACGGCTGAGTTGTCAAAGTAACTGACCAGTCCAGGGATGTTTATTTAAAAAATGCCATCCATAAAGAAATGCCAAGCAGAGTAGCCTGCCGATACTAACCAAGTAGGCAGCGATTTTCGCCGGCAGCTGGCTACTTTTGACAACCCTGCTCAAGGTAGGTCAATTTCAAGACAAGACACAGAAGATAAAAATTTCTGAACAGTTGTGATTTGCCCTCTTCAACTAGTAAAACAAAGAAACGGATATTAAGTTACAGACACATACAGGACCTTCTCTGGTGTCCTATTAATATAGGCGTCCACTGAGCTATTTGTCCGCTTAATATCGATTGTCTGCTTAATATGGGGCCAAGTCACTTACCATCAATCCAAAGTGCCTTTAAAATCAGAAAAACAATGGCAATGGCTTCTCTTTTTCATCTCTGCTTTTTTGCCACAGCAGACAAGCAATCTTGTCCCCACACTCCTAATTTGAAAATAAAATATAAAATATCAACCCTCCAAGTTGCGACCATTTTGGTCGCCATGGTGCCTAAAATTTTGGAGCTGGCGACTTCATTTGTAAAAAAGTCTCCCTAAACCAAAACAGTTGGTTTCCAAATTGCGATTGAGCAAAAACTTTAACTTGCAGGGTTGAAGATGATAACAAGTACAAAGATTCAATGTTTAAATTAAAATCAATGTTTTAGGCAAAAAGAAGTGTGCCTCCACCAAATTGCACTTGATTAGGAGTCTCCTATTCCTACTGATAATTCCGCTGATTGTTCACCGCTGTATAAAGTATCGTCCTCCCAAACCTCTGCAAGAGCAATAACGATAGCCATAATCAACGCAGATAGCTCAAGGGACTTGCACTGATCACAATCATAACAGGAGCAGAGGAAAAGACTGCATAAGTACTGACTGACTAAGAAGGCATGTTTGGTATCCTGAATTTCTTGGAGTTGGGTGGCAGGTTCCTCCAATAGGCAGGTTGACACCACAGCAAAAAGGGTATGCATTAGGGATGCTTTTGTAGTTAAGCACTACAAACAGGGAAGAACAGTTAGTACGAATTGCTGGTTTCCATACTTACTGGTTTATTGGTTGGCCGGTTCAATGATTTCTGATCTCTTGTGTTATGTAGATTAAGTGACACCGGCTTCTGCCGAAACAGTTCATCGGCCACATAACACCACTACACCTTCCACAAGTTCAGCTTTCATTGGAATCCGGCCATGCTCAAGCATCCAGCCACCATAAAGAATCCAACTTCGTACAAGTAGTACCTTCCACAAGTTTCCAGTCAGTTATATGGAATGTATGGGGCAGGCATCAGAGATGCAGTTGTGGATCCCTGCTCACAACAATAATTTTCAAAGACAAACAGCAAGTATGAGTACTGACTGAGTAGACATGTTGGAGAATCCAGGATTTCCTGAAGTTGGATGGTGGGTTCCTCTGATTGCCATGTTGACACCACAGCAAAAAGAGCAGGCATCAGGGATGCTTTTGTAGTTAAGCACTACAAATAGGGAAGAACAGTTAGGATGAGTTGCTGGTTTCCATACTTACTGGTTTATTGGTAGGCCGGTTCTATGATTTCTGATCTCTTGTGTTATGTAGATTAAGTGACACCGGCTTCTGCCGAAACAGTTCATCGGCCACATAACACCACTACACCTTCCACAAGTTCAGCTTTCATTGGAATCCGACCATACTCAAGCATCCAGCCACCATAAGGAAACCCAACTTCATACAACTAGTACCTTCCACAAGTTTCCAGTCAGTTATATGGAATGTATGGGGCAGGCATCAGAGATGCAGTTGTGGATCCCTGCTCACAACAATAATTTTCAAAGACAAACAGCAAGTATGAGTACTGACTGAGTAGACATGTTGGAGAATCCAGGATTTCCTGAAGTTGGATGGTGGGTTCCTCTGATTGCCATGTTGACACCACAGCAAAAAGAGCAGGCATCAGGGATGCTTTTGTAGTTAAGCACTACAAATAGGGAAGAACAGTTAGTATGAGTTGCTGGTTTCCATACTTACTGGTTTATTGGTAGGCCGGTTCTATGATTTCTGATCTCTTGTGTTATGTAGATTAAGTGACACCGGCTTCTGCCGAAACAGTTCATCGGCCACATAACACCACTACACCTTCCACAAGTTCAGCTTTCATTGGAATCCGACCATACTCAAGCATCCAGCCACCATAAGGAATCCAGTTTCACACAAGTAGTATCTTTCCAGTCAGTTATACGGAATGTATAGGGGATGCATCAGAGTGGAGTTGTGGATCCATGATCACAACAAGTGTAGAGAAACAGGCATTATAAGTACTGATTGAGTGGGTGTGTTGAGTATCCTAGATTTTCTGGGGTTGGATGGTAGGTTCCTTCGATTTGCAAGTTGACACCACAGCAAAAAGGGCAGGAAAAAGGGATGCTTTTGTAGTTCAACACTATAAACAGGGAGCAACAGTTAGTATGCGTTTCTAGTTCCCATACTTACTGGTTTATAGGTTGACCAGTTCTATGTTTGAAGAAAAGAAACATCTGAATCATACAGAGCTATTTGTCTGCTTAATATGGGGCCAAGTCACTTACCATCAATCCAAAGTGCCTTCAAAATCAGAAAAAAACAATAGCAATGGCTTCCATTTATCATCTCTGCTTTTTTCGCCACAGCAGACAAGCAATCTTGTCCCCACAAGTCTTCTAATTTGAAAATAAAATATAAAAGATCAACCCTCCAAGTTGCGACCATTTTGGTCGTCATGGCGCCTAACATTTTGGAGCAAGTAAGGAGGAACAGTCAGTATGAGAACTGACTGAGTGGGTGTGTTATTAAATCACGTGTTTAGAAGGTACAGAGAGCAATCAGCATCACAATGTATCACCAAATACTTGTTTAACAAGTCACTCTTTTTAGGCTAAATAGCTTTTTCCGACTTTAAAACCATGTAATGTTAATTCTCAAGGAAAGGTATTAGACAGTTATAATCCAAAAAACTGAACTGTTACACACCTGATTGACAAATCCAGGGTACATGGTGGAGGGAAAAAAAACAACAGTGGCTTGGACTTCATGCCGGCTCTGCTTTCTTCCACATGACAAGGGAGAAATCTTCCCACCACACTCCTTCTAATAAAATTAATGATATATGAAATATGATAACAAGTACAAAAGTCAATATTTAAATTCAAATCAATGTTTCATGTCAAAAAGTGTACTGAAATTGAAAAAACAACAACCGCCATAGATCAAGCGTCTCTTAATCCCACTTATAAATCAGCTGTGTGTTGACTGCTGTAAACTGTGTTCCTTCAAGGATTTGAGCAAGAGTGATAATGATAGCCACAATCAAATGAAGACAGGTAAATGGTCATGCAGTGACCACAATCACAACAGGAGTAGAGAAACAGTCAGTTTGGGTATCTTGGGTTTATCAGGTCCACACCACAGCAATAAGGCCAAGCACAAGGGATGCCTTTGTAGTTGAACACTACAAATAGGGAATATCACTAAGTATGAGTTTCTGGTTTCCATACTTACTGGTTTATAGGTTGACCGGTTCTATGTTTGCTGATCTCTCGTGGCATGTAGATTATTAAGAGTGAGCTTTTTGAGACGATCTGAATGAGGATAAGTGATCCGCGATCACTCAGATCATGGTAGATCACATGAATTGATGACTCCACCATTTGGTCTACCATGATCCAAATGGTCTGGGACCTCCGATCCTAGTAAATCCTTATCATCCCAAAGGTCAACCCACCCCAAGTGACACCGGTTTCTGCCGAAACAGTTCATCGGCCAAACACCACTACACCATATCCACAAGTTCAGCTTTCATTGGAATCTAGTCATACACAAGCAACCAGTGACTGTAAGGAATCCAATCTCATATAAGTAGTGTCTTCCTCTTGAGTTTCCAGCAGAGATCTGGAATGTATGGGGCAGGGTGCTGTTTAGTCTGGCCCTTCTACCTTGGAGCAATCTGGCATAATTCCACCTGCCAGGAGCATAAGCTCCCGCCATCATAGCTCTAGTGGTCCTAAGGGCACGCAAGCCTCCCCGCCACGTCAAGGCACAGCACCAGGGGAGGTAAGACCTATTAATCCTTAATAAATGCTTTACAGCACTTCCATTCTGCCTTTGGATTGAATATTAGTGAACCTATCTGAGACTAATGTTTTCAAGCTAAAGTATTTCAACATACAACATCCCATCATCTCTGTATTGTTCTTACCAGGATTTTCCACACTGGGCTCCACAGGACCCATAGAGAAGCTGAAAGGAGGTCATGAGGGAGAAAAGCGGGTCACAATTCTCAGATACAGTTAACTCAATGCTTTACTCACAGGTCTGAGTAAGAGTACATAAATCATACGTTGATCCAATTTTACATACACTTAACTCAACGTTTTACAGCTGCGAGTTAGAGTAAAGACGCCATAACCAATTAAATTTTGGCTAATATTATAAGGAAATGTACGTATGTTTACGTACATTTTGTAATAGGTCTTTCTTCCTTCCTTGCACCTTTAGGACTCCTTGGGCTAATTATAGTATTAATGGCATTTCCAGAAAAAGTAAGAACACTGGTAAAAACACTGTGTCTGATAAACATGTTAGTGCCCCAAAATGTTATTGTCCCAAAGGCTACATGTAGCACAAACAATCCCGGGGTTGGGAGATTTCTTGAAATTTATACAAATGGTCTTTGTCTCCCAGAGTTTCCACCAAAAAATTCAGTAATAATTTATGGAAAATTGGGAGGATTTTTCTGTCTTTGTCGCAAGAGAAAATAAAATAATATAACAAATAAATATCATCTGTTAAAAATTGATTACTTGCAATTTCATTGGTCAGACGATTGGCACACAAACAATTTGTCACATTCTTAGACGATAACAACAAGCTAGCACAATTCCAAAATGGCAATTGTAAGCACCATTCCACTGAAACGGCTCTTCTGTCTGTAAGTGATGACCTATGAAAAGCTATGGAAAAGAAAATCTCAGTATTGGTGTTGATGGACATGTCAAAAGCCTTTGACAGTATAAACCACAACATGTTGTTATTTATACTTTGTAGCCTTGGTGTGTCTCTATTATTATTATTTTTTTCATTCATAGTTTATTTGGTAAAGCAGGTTAGGTTAAAAGGCAGCTAAACCTGATGTGGACCTGCTGATAAACTATCTATTGATGATATACAAATAAAATTTTAGAAAAAATGTACAGAAAATAGGTATATAAAAAGAATAAGTACACAGTAGTAAGATAAAAGACTAGAAATTAAGAACAATATTAAAATACTATTTCATCTTGTTGAAATTTATAATGTCCATCAGCGCTGGAATGGTTCAAAAGTTATCTAAAAGGAAGGTAACAAAATGTTTGTATGGGGGATGTGGTTTTTGCAGTCTCTCCTAGTTGATTATATATCGAGTTCCATAGGGGTCCATTCTTGGCCCCGTTTTGTTTACTTTTTATATAAATGATTTATTAACCCATTTGCCCCTGAGCCGCCCATAACCACCCATGCTGGTCCACGTGCTTCTACTGCTTGTGACATCATCAGTTTTAACGGTCATGGACAACTTGTGACCGCTAACTGGTGCGGAGTGAAGAGATCTTTCAAACCATACCAGAATGAGCACAATTCAGTCAAGGACACCAGATAAAGACGCAAAAAATTATGTAACATTGACCTGAATATTTTCATGAAAATCTTGTTGGACTACCCACCTGCCTTTCCTTTCATCTAATTCTAACATCCTAAAAGTATTTCTAAAAGCCTTTCCCATGAAAATGAAGCCTACTAAATGCCCAGCAACAAAAAAAAAAAGGAGGCAAGAAAAGCGGAAAAAAAAGGGGAGGAGAGAAAGAGAAAAGTACAGTGCAGGCCAGAACTAAGTGAACCAAAATATATGCATAATATGCGTCACGAAAGACGAGTCAATTGCGTCAGGCTGGATGCATCCGTGCGTCTGAGCTGACGAGCCAATGCGTGTGCTCTGAAATGCATCAGTGCACATTAAGACTCATTAGTATGTATGGCCTAGCTCTTTGTGTAGAGAAGTTATGTGTCGGTGAATGTTCAACAAGCTTAAAACTGGTGGATTGACCTGGTGCAAGCTGTAGAAAATTTAGATGCAAAATGCCAACTGCAACTTTTGCTACATGTAGTTTGATCACATATTTCACGAATCGAGGAAACAGCACTGTTTTACACAATCAAAACCAAGCTGAGGTAACAATGATGTGGAAGAAAACATCACTCACAAAATTATCTTGAGTTTGAGTTGAAGGAACTTCACATGACAATCAACATCAAAAATCGAACCTCCGATTGGCACGCGCTCACGTAAACAAAATTTTCCTTGTGACGACCAAGTTCGCATCAATAACATTGTCATAGAAAGCAAGACTTCAGGACTGAACTTAAAAAAAGAAATTGCCTCACAGATCTTGAGGTACAATCCTTTGCGTTATCACAAATCCGCAAGGCATGTGCTCAAAAACAAAATTCACTGGGGCTGAATTGAAATTCCTGTCACCTTTTAGTAACATTTTCTTTCACAATGCCATCAACATTATCACTTTATCAGTCTCGGTAACCAGCACTTAATGGAACATTCGTTTCTAGTAATAATCGCCGGATTTCTTCGCGATCTATTTTTCTTCTATTTTCCTATGAAAATAGCCAGGGCCACATTCATAATAGCCAGGGGAAAATCCCCAGCCCGAGGCTCTTAATGACAGCCCTAAGGCAGTGTTATTGTTGGGAGAAATTGGATGAGGGTCACTATTGGGGCATAAAGTTAGGCTTCCAGAACAAAAAGACAGCCTATTTAAGATGCTAAAATTAATAGTAAAATGTTTATCTAGTTTAAGACTCAAGACCTTAAAAACCACACCACGTTCGGTGGCTCATACCGTATTTATTCGATTAACCACCCTGGGCGCCTATTGAATTTTTGGACCTTGAGAGTGGGCGCTTATTCAAGGTGGGCGCTTATTCGAGGCTGGGCGCTTATTAAATTTTCACCATTTTCAGCTAGTGAAGTATGTTTATTTTGCAACAAAACAATAAATGCTAATAACAAAACATGAAGAAGTAACAAAGCAAGGTTTCTGTAAAATACTCTGAAGAAAACTCTGTCCTTGGGAAAGTCTCTTATTAGAATTTATTCACTCATGTGGGTGGGGTGGGGGTGAGTGCTTATTTGAGTTTGATTGGCAGGAGGAGAGGGAGGGCGCTTATTCGAGGCTGGGCACCTATTAACTTTTTCTGCCTTTAGGATAGACGCTTATTCAAGGTGGGCGCTAATTCGAGGTTGGGCGCTTATTCGAATAAATATGGTAACTGTTTTGGACAAATACAGTACAGGTCACAACTAAGCAAACAATGCAGAGAAGACAACTAAGGGTACAGGTATATTTATTACATTTCATCTCACCTGTGCGGCAAAAATGTCCTTGCTGTTTTTCACGTAGGTGGTTGCATGTCTTTGACTGACTGTGTCCTTTACCATAATAATAATAATATTATTCACTGATGAATATTCAACCTGGAAAGGGAACAAGAAAAATAACATGTAAACCCATCACTTCTGAACCAACTGAGCAGATCCACCTCGCATGTACTACAGTACTTGGGAGATGATCAGTTTGAAAAGTCATAGACAACTTTAACAAAAAAAATTTAGTACATGCAATGTTCTCCTTATTAGAAGGTAACCAAGTACTTGACACTAACTTTTTTGGACACTAGGCAATGGTCTAGCAAGTGAAATAAATCGACTAGCCCAACAGGACAAGTCACAAAGAAATAAAGCCCACAAATAAAATACCCAGGGGGTAAGGAGCCACTCTACTCCTTCCAGTGTCCAGTCTATAAACTATGTATTTTAAAACGAAATGCAAACGAATAAACAGTTGCTGTGTTATCTTTGTTTGTTTTCAGTTCTTTTAACGAAACGGACAACGACGACGCTTCATAACCGAAGCAGACTGCGCCAAGGGTTTCGGGAAAACGAAGTTTACATATAGATGGTTTTCACAGTGACGTCATCAAA